TAGAAAACATCATGTTGTTTTTTTTTTTTTTTTTAATGTAAATTCCCCAACATGTTATTGGACTTGTTATATAGACTTGATTAATATGCTGAAATGAAAAATATGTTCTGCGTGAACAGCAAAATACTATTTTTGATTGTGTAACCTTTTCATACATCAATCAGTTGAAGTAGCTGCTAATGTAATTCGGTGATATCAGAGGTTAATCATGCTGTTGCAAGAGATTTTAGCTTTCTGTCAGCTTAAAAAATAACAAGTTTCAGACTTTTCTTAAAGGAAGGAAAAATACATTTGGATGGTCGAAACCTGAGGCTGTACTTCTGTCTCAGCTTCAGACACTTCTCTTCAAGCTTCAGCCATGTAGCTTGCAAGCACTCAGTCTTTTTGCCTTTCTGTCAATTTTCCAACTTGTAGTTGGAGGCCCATCCAATATGGACCTTGTGAAAGGCTCTGTGCTTTTGTCCACAACAGCAATAAGATTTGTTTAGTTTATATTTCATATTTTGCAAAAACACAGGTTGCCTAATCTGTCACTGTGAGATGCAACTCATGGTCACCTAGTCTAATCATCTAGGATATGAAAATCCTCAGTCTCGCTTGCAGGCATGAAGTCAGGCCTCTGCATGCTGCACTGCTGCACCCCTTTGGTAGCATCAGTGTGGCAGTGGATGTGCTCCACATGCCTTGAGATCAGTGGCTGAGGAAATTGAAACCCTGCTCCTGTGGCTCCATTACATCTTTTTCATCATCTCTTCAGGTAGGAGAAGAAACAATTCTTGGAAAAAAAGCCAGAAAGGCAGAATAGGTCACAGGTTCATGAAGTCCTGTTGAAGTCAGGGAAGCCAGTGACTGATTCTGTGTAATGTTTTTTAATTTTAGCAAAGCTTTTCTTGCTGGCTGTCATGGTATTCTTCTGGACAAGTACATACTATGATGGGTGAACAACTGGCTGCTGGGTCAAACTCAAGGATAAAAATATACAGTAAATGGGGTTCCATCAGGCTAATGGCTAGTCACTAGTGGGGTTTGCAAGGCTCCATTCTGGGGCCACTTCAGTGTTTAATTGATAGATTTGAAATAATTCCACTGAAAATAAAGAACCTGTTTTTTTTTTTTTTTTTTTTTGTTATTTGTTTGTTTTTTGGTAGTGTTTGAATTTTGGAAACTGGCACAAATGTAACTACTGAAAGCTAAGCTCTGCAGATTTTATTCAGCTAGGTCCTGTTTTCTGATTCATGTGTTGGCATGAGGCTTATTCCCAAGGCAGTCATAATTCACTGGCTCTTTATAAAAAGAGCTTTGCTGGAGCATTCAACTGCAGAAATCCTAAGGTGTGTCTAAATCATTTAATGAGAAAGTTCTCCACGAGCACTAAAGGTCTGTTCTTTTGAGTAGAGTGTAAACAGCAAATTGTGTTTCACAGCTTCTGCATCTGAGTCTCTTATAATGCCATTCCCATGAAAAGATCACCTTCTGCCAAGATTAATGTGTACAGAACACTTCACTATTATTTCAGTCTAGTGAAGATTTTTGGCATTTCTGATTGCTCTCAGAGGTACAGTGTGGTGTAGAACTATTGTCATAATATTTACAAGTAAAACAGCAATGCTTCATGATTTTTTTGTTGTTGCTATTTTCTTTTGTAACTACCTGTCAAGTAATTCCTAACAAGTGCAAGTAGCATTCGTGGGTAAACATCATTATTTCAAAAGAATCGTTTTACACCTGAAAATAGCATTGTTCTTTTTTTGGTAGATTGTATCTGTGTTTGTTGTTGTTGTGGTGGTGATGTTTTCCTTGTTGCTTTTAGCTAGCAATTCACTTGACTTTGATCCCTTGAGACTAATCCCATTCTAATCCATTGCCAATTTGTATAATCTTCCCACATGACTCCTCAGTGATCATCCGGTGTCAGTGGCGGTGAAGAAGCACTCCAGTTCTGGTCTCCACACAAGATGAAAAGCTGTTCTACATATTGCTCGACTTGTGTTGATGTGAAATCTTAATTTTCACATCAGTCTTTTCTTAATCAGCTGGCAAAAAAAAGCCAGGAAAAAACACTAACTATAGCTTTAGCTGTCCTTATCAATGACCTGTACACACAAGACCGAAAGGAAGAGAATTGTGCTGGAAGATACTAAACGTTTGTTTATCTGGAGTGTAAATGAGATATGTGGAATGGGCGTTTATATGGACCCCCTCCATCCTCAGTGTGATATGCAGGATCCTTACTCTGGTGATCTCTGTGGACTTTGAACAACCATGCCCCAGGTAGAGTAAAAAGGAAATTCCAATTTAGTTCCAGGAGAAGATATGCTATTTTTCAAGCAAGGTAAAGACTTGATTTCCTCTGGAACATCGTTCAGGCTTTTTGCAAAAAGATTATGAAAGTTATTGTGTTAGTGCATTGCAGATATTAAGATATGTGTTTGCTTTTGCATGTACAGTGAGTGTATGGACAAGTTGTCTGTACAGTTGTCACAGAGTCTGCACATAATCAGATTCTTTCCTAGTAGTTTAGCCCTCTGGCATTTTAGCCAAGGGCAGAGGCAGGATGTAAGAACTGAAACAAGTTAATTGAAGGAAAACGCAAAAAAACACAGCTATGTTGGATCATACATTATAGAAATAACACTTAAAAAAACAGTTTAAAAAGACTTACTGGCACACTACTGTCTCTTGATGAGAGAGTACGAGTGCCTTACGAATACCTGAAGAAAGCCCAATCTGTTTTGAAGAACAAAAGAATTGCTGTATGAAAACCAAACAGAAGTATTCAGTTAAATTGAGCAGATAGCTTTTATGGAGGGTAACAGGGGAGAGAGAAATTGAGTGCAGAATTCAAAGCAGCGAGGTCAATTAAGTAGCAGTATCTTACTAGAGACTATACAGAATTCATCATTGCATCAAGATTCTAAGTTGGTTAAGTATTGAAAAGAAATTATGTAATTGGAATAGCTTTTTTCAGCCATGCTAAACATTTGAGTCATTGTTTGATTATTGGAGCCGTTCCTTGAGTTTGACATAAGCCAGTTTTCTAAAAACTCTACAAAGGAGGATGAAACCTCCTTGGAGCAACAAGTCAATACTGTACAAAAGCTGCTTACAAGGACTGCTCCAAAAGTTATGCTGTCTATTTTATTATGTTGGCCCATGACATCATAGGTGAATGGTAGTGTTATGGAAGTAGAGGTTGGACCTTCTCACCAATATTCCATTTTGTCACCATGTGACAGATATCAGTAGAGGAATGATCTGACAAAGTGGTGTCTGATGTGGAAGTACGTAAGAAGCAAAGGTGTCAGTGAATTCCTCCATGCAGAAGTAATGGTGCCCACTGATGTTCATCAATGCTTGCTTGAACGTTTATGGAGTGGATGTGAGCACAGAGAGGTGGCGGGTAGTATGTTTAGCAGTGACAACAGCAATGTGAAAGTCAAACCGTGTTCCAGAAGGCCAAGCACAACTGTCACACTGTGAAATGAAGTGTATCTTGATGAGCTGATCTGTGTGAACAGACTGATGGTGGTGACTATGTTGAAATAAAGTGTTTTATAGCTGAGAACTTGCTTTATCAAATAGTGTTGCTATGTTCTTTGTGTCTGTTGTAACTTACATTCAAATAAGGAGAAGGCATTATTTTTTGAGTGAACTACATACAAATGGCATGTAGAATGTTTGCTATATTCTACTGTTTTGCAACCCTTTCCTCCATTTTGAGGCATTGCAGTCCAAAGACGGGGCCAGAACTTAGACTTAACATTTAGGTTTGAACAGAAAGACTGCAAGAAATGGAAGCACTCAAACCATTATGGTGACAGTGGTATTCATTATCTTGACTTTTTTGGGGGGAAAGGCTGTTTTTGGGGCACCTTTTATTCAGACAATCTTTAGTTTTTATTGCTGACCTTTGTTTGCATTATCATTGAGGGCATCATACAATAATGAGGGCAACATATAGACTGGTGGATTTTATTAGTAATCGAACATAAATGCTTAGAACCATTGCAGTGTTGGCAGTCAGCTTGTTTTTCGTGGTGAAATTCTCTTTCTGTTAAAAAAAATAATGGTGGTGATCTATGGGAAGCTGTATGCTGCTTCAGTTCCACTAGTTTGGGGTAAAATTGTACAGAACCTGTTGCATGAGAGGTCACATCCTAAAACTGTTTTTTTTCACATGGCTAATGATATTTTTCTTCTGACTGGAAGACCACACTTGTTCTGAAATTGCTGATGTTTGATGGTGTTCTTACTGTCATCTCTAAAACAGGACTTTCAAAATAATTGAGGAACCCTTACAGTTGTGTTCTCCTTAATAAAACTGAAAAACAATGAGACCAATAATTAATGTTACTGTTGATATAAATACTGTGCTTTCCCATCTAAGGCTCCGCAGTGGAACATTTCTGGTGGTCAATAATGCTTAATGTTTAGAAATTGGAATTTTACAGGGGAAATCATGTGTGTCATGGATACTGTGAACTGGCTAGACAAGCTGTTGGGCAAGACATCTAGGCAAGATGGGACAAGAGTAAAGAAAAAGAACGTTATGTACGTTGAAAAGATGTTTGGCATTAATTAGTACCACTCTGTTCTTGTAAAGCTCTAAGAGAGCTTTCTGTAACTGTACCTTTTCTCCTTCTCCTTGGTGTATCACTTTTGCTATGGAAAAGTGCATTCCTTTGAGTTAAGATTGGGTAATGATTAATTGATGAAGAAAAAACTCATAATTTTAAATAGGTATTCCTGGTGGATCACTTCTTCAACAGAAGTTATTGCAATTTGTGTTTTCTTGTAGTACTGTATGAAAAAACTTCAGTGTCAGAGGCAGTTTTTCATTACAGATAATAAGGCTCAGGCTTAAACATCATTCGAGTCATAAAATACAGCTTTCTAACTGAGGTTTCTGGTATTTTTTTAGTGTTGCCATTGTTATCAAAATGCATAAAAATGTTAATGCATACATAAAATTCCTCCCTGTGTGCCTTTTGTTTTTGCAGGCACTATCCTGGTTGACAATATGTTGATCAAAGGGACAGCAGCAGGGCCGGACCCCACCATTGAGCTCTCCTTAAAAGACAACGTTGATTACTGGGTGATCCTTGATCCCATCAGCCAGAGGCTGTACTTAAACAGCACTGGCCGAGTTCTGGACAGAGATGTAAGTTTGGAGCTTTTGGTTTGTTTTCTTTTCTCCCCTAGACTTCATTTTCTGAATCTGTGTATACTTACAGGATGATCATGAACATAAGAATTGATGTAATGTGATGTGTTGTCCCCAGATGACTGCAAACAGAATCGATTGTTTGTTAGAACGCACTTAGGAGCATGGTGAAACTTGGTCATGAAAATTATATGTGGCAAAGACGAGAGTAAAGACAAGAACGAATGACTGCGTATTGGCAGAAATAGATACGGAACCAAACTCGATTGTTTGTTGAATTAGGAGAATTTTTGCTTTGCTACTTTTGTCCGGGAGGTGAAGTGCTGCTCGCTTCGTGTCCGTTTTACACTTAGTGTCTTTTAGCAAAAGCTTGCTCTAGTTGTGTACAGCTTATGAGATGGGAGAAAAAGCAATGGAGCTGTATATACTACAATTCACATCTGAAACTTGATGTGCTCAAATAAGAATCTGCTAGTTTAAGGGGAGGTTGTTTGTGTATTTGTTTTGAAGGCAGCATTAAATTGGTGTGGTAGCTTTTTCCTATTAGCATTAGATGACTGTTGTTAGGCCACATTTTTTTTTTCTTTCTAAAAATACGAAATGAGAAGGAGTGTTATCATTTGTACCAATTTTGTTTGAAGGAAATGCTTTCTAAAAATGCAGATACTGTTTTACTGTTACGCTGAAGCATATACTACAATTTAGAAGCTGCAAGAAAAACTAACTCACAAATGACTGTAATCAACATGGAAAGAGTGATTCAAAGATCATGTGAAGTTCTCCTTGGAGTGCATCAGTTTGTTTTATATTATCTTGATAATTGGTTTGTCTTCTCCATTTAGTCTGAGGTGTTCTCAAAAACAACATGTGTTGTCCTTTCCATTTTATTTTATTTTATTTTATTTGAAGCTTATTTGAATTTAGCTGGGCTTAAAATAGCTTTCATTCACAAACTTTTAATATGTGAAGCGAAGGTATGCAGCACAAAACATGGCAGAATGGACATGATGGGGTGAGGAAATCCCAGTGCATCAAGTGCCAAACACCCAGCTGCCTTTGCAGCAGCACTAGTTCAGTAACAGTCTAGCTAAACTCATAAATGCTGCACATCATCATGAATAAAGACACTTTAGAGTGTTGTTCTGCAAGTGCAAGATGTGGGCTCAGATCACAAGGAAATGAATGGACAGTATATGTTTGCTTAATTTACATAAAGTTAATACTGTTCTTCCGTTTGTTTTTAAGGGATTATTTCCTCATTTTTATAATGAACCAAAACTGAGAAAAGCCTAGTATGCAGAACGAGGATTGTATACATTTTGATCCCTAATACTTCAATGCTGAGTAAAATTACTTGTGCTTGTTTAAATGTGTTAGAATATGAAAAGAAAAAATGTAATTTAGGATAACTGATATTTTGGGTGTGATCCCCACTGTACCTGACTTCTGGGGTCCCAATCTCAATCAAGTTACGTGTTAAAGAAAATGAAAACAACCCATGAAAACTCAGCCTAACGGTCACTGAATGTGTGAACCTTATACCATGGACTTGATTAATATGGCTCCAATCTAAAGGTTGTTTCCAGCCGTCGAAAGCAGAGCTGTACAGAACTCCCAATGGCGTGTGCAGTTTTTGTCTTTTCTTTGCTTGTTTAACAAAAGAAGCTGTGTTTCTCATTCCTCAAGTGAAAATTACACAAATCCTAGTAGTTACAATAGAATTTGGGTTTTTTATTAATTCAATCCTTAAAATTCAAGTTTTGATTATGGAGCAGAAATTGGAGTCTCAGTCACAAATGGAGCATATGTGATTGCATGCAATACGTCTGGATTCTCTTACCATTTTTCTGCTGTAACCCTGCCTGTCATCTCCCTGAACCAGATAACCTGGTCTCATTTTTTTTTATTACTTCTCTTGAAAGAAATTTATTAGATTCCATTGATTGATTTTCACCAAGAATGACAATATATTTTCCAAACAGAATCAGATAGAAAGACATTTCAAGACTTTTTTACCAAAGCTTCAAGTGCTTAGGAAGAATGGATCGAGATGAATTAGAGCTGGAGAGGAAGCGAACTGCCGCAGTGTGTTAGAATAATTTGTCCCCAGTGTGATTAAATATATATTGTGCTTTTAGGTATTTACATTCATTGCTTGTAAATCATGAAAACAACATGTGCTCATTTAAAGACCTGATTTTATAGCTAGGCACTCACCAAGCAGCGATTACATGTACAAACAGCCCTACACTGGTCATACCTCAGCAGAGACAAAAAAAACTGTTCTTTTTTTCCACGTCTTTATCAAAAAGACCGAGTGATGGTTGCAAATCCAGAACTTTGTGGATGTACTTATATACTGCTACAAACAGATGTGGTTTTTGTAGGTGTTACTAAAAGCAGCATTTAACGTCAGTTGTGTTTTAAATATATTAAAATGGGTTAAAAATTGTGTTCTGAAAGCTTGCAAAGAATGCCATCTTGAAAAATAGAAAAGATAATGCTCAAATCTTAATTTTTAAGTTACTGACTATATTTGACGTGTTCCTACTTTTGTTGCAAGTAGAACCATCTCGTAATTGGATGCAGATTTTTACAGCAAAGAGAACCAACTCCCAGATAAATGCTCATGCTGTACCTAATTGCTGAGAAAGCTGAGTCTAAGGAGATGAGGGAAGAACAGGTTTTCGTGTAAGATCTCAGCAGCAGCATAAACCCCCTTTCTTTTCCCATGTCTATCGACTCTTTAAAAACTGATCAGTCTAAAGGGTGAAGAAACCATATGGTTCTAAAACCCATTGTAGTAAAACTGGAAGAAATCAATCACTCAGAGAAATTGTTCCATTTAGAATGAGTGAAAGCGTAATTATGCAGATATATAATTATGGTATAATTGTAAGTCTAGGGATCTCAATACAAAAACCTGTTTGTGTTCTTTGTGCTGTAGAGTACATAGGCATTTTTAAATTATGTTTTTGAGTTGTTTATTCTTTTGAAGGCTCTGAGGTTAATAAATGCAGAGCTTTTTTGTTTTGTCCCTTTCAATGCATTCTTGCTTTCTGCTGCACATCACATACTAAATCAAAAAGGAAATTTTTTTATTTGAATATTGTGGCGTTCACTGTAATAAAAACAAGAGGGCTTTGGATGGTCTTCACTTAGAGGTGACTAATTTGTTTTTAAATTACTTGATAAATGCAAGTGGTAGGATATTCAATTTATTTCTGACTTGACCGTTCAGTTCAAATACTAACCAATCAGAAGTTAAAATGTGTGGCATTTTCTAGGTTTCAAATAATGATTGAAATGGAATTGGTTATTGAAGAAACTAACAATTATTCAGTCAAAATGTGTGGGTTTTTTTCATTCCTGAGAAAGCTGTGAAAAGCTAATCTTGCTGAGGAATTTTATATGCTCTTTTTATCTTTGTATTAGCACATTCAGCTGGCAGAGCTCAGTCTGCACAGTACAGCTGTGAGACATGGAGGTCTGTGTGAAACACTTCCAGCATGAGCCGTAGTCAGGACACTTGGAGAAGCATTCTGAGTCTAGAAAGACACAGTACAGCATCAAATGTAACACAGACTGAAAGGCTGCTGGGAACCTGAGCAGTGCTAACGTTGGTGTAGCATTTAACTCTTCATTCAGTTCATATTTGACTGTATTAACAACATGTATTTTCCATTACAGCCTCCTATGTCCATCCAGTCCATTGTGGTGCAAGTCCAGTGTGTTAACAAAAAGGTTGGCACCATTATCAACCATGAGGTGCGGATCGTGGTGAGAGACAGGAATGATAACTCACCTCAGTTCCAGCAGCAGCGATATTATGTGGCAGTAAACGAGGTCAGAATTGATTCCTTTTCTTCTTTCTTTCTTTCCTCTTTCTTATACATTGTTTGTTGTGAGAAGCCAACTTCTTTCACTTCTTGTTTGAAAGCTCAATAAATGCAGTAGTTTTTAAATCCCTTCATTTGTGTCAATTTGGAGAAACGCAGCACAGCCAATAAGTTTTTAGCATGAGAGCTACCCTTCCTGATTCCCAACAGTTACAAAGATCGACATGCCTTTCGCCAGAATGCATATAACAGATGGAATTTTGTGAAGCTGTGTCTCAATTGGTTTATGTTACATTTACAAAATATTCTACTGCATTTTGCAACTTTATCAACATGACTGAAAGTAAAGCACATTTATTTATGAAAAATAAATGTAGGTCAGAAGTTTTTATTAAGAGCCTTGTAGGCTGGTAAAGTTCAAACTACTGCTGTTTATTAAACGTTACCTGTGAATTGAAGTATTTTGTTCTTTTGTTCTAATAGAGTAGTAATCTATGGATTGGACTTGTACCTATTATTTGAAGGTTTTGTGTGTTGTTTTTTTTTTTTTCATAAGCAAATAATATTTCATTTCACTTTAAAATTGCATTTCTTATTCTCTTAGTTATTAAATAATCTGTTAGTAAACAGCACAAAGGACATGTGTTTGCAGTAAATGAGAAGCAGGAACATATGTGTGGTCTTTGAGTACCTGAAGGGGCATGCAGGAAAGCTGGGGAGGGACTTTTTATAAGGGCAGGTAGTGACAGGACGATGGGAAGTGGTTTTAAGCTGTAAGAGGGTAGATTTAGACTAGATGTTAGGAAGAAATTCTTTACTGTGAGGTGGTAAGAACTGGAACAGGTTGCCCAGAGAAGCTGTGGATGCCCCATCCCTGGAATCATTCAGGGCCAGTCTGAATGAGGCTGTGAGCAACCTGGTCTAGAGGGAGGTGTCCCTGTCTATAGCAGCGGGTTGGAACTACACAATCTTAAAGGTCCCTTCCAAACCAAACCATTCTATGATTCTGTGAAGTAGAAGTGTACAGACTGAAACCAAGAGAAGAGAAAGACAGGTTTTTTTTTTCCATCTTCACTTATAGTAGTTAAGAAGTTAAACCAGTTACGTATCATAGTGATTATTCAGTGTGTTAGGGAGTTTTGGTTTTTCAGTGTGACCCTATGTTCTGTTACGATCACTACATTGCTTTAAGTGACCAAGAATGCAGGCAGGTGGTGTTCTGGAAATCCAATAGTCCCCAGGGAAAGGAGTGGGGAAGTTGTCTGATCAGTTCTGAACTAATTCAGCTCAAAATATTAGGATTAAAAATGAAGGAAAACCCAACGTTTCCTTAACTGGGGATATTCAAGAGTGGTCTGAAAGCCTACCTGTGTGACCTACTGTAGGCAGCCTGCTTTAGCAGAGGCATTGGACAAGATGATCTCTGGAGGTCCTAACCCCTGCAATTCTGTGATTCTGTGATGAAGGAAGCAAGGATTTTCCATAATTAGAAGTCCAAAAGGCAGAGAGAAAAATGCACCATTTAGAATAGTTTATATTCAGTGGCTTTATATGTTTCAAATATCTGCACTCATTTATTTGGATTACTGTTGAGTGAAGTGCAATCTTACTCTTGCCACCAGCTGCAGTCTCGATATAATTAGCTACTTTGTTTCATTTTATCACTGTTAGGCTTCTATCTTCTGTGGTGGCACCACTGTGCCATTCAGGATTACCCCCTGGGTTAACATTCTCATTAACTAACGAGAAAAAAAAAGTTCACAAAGCATCTCAGCCTTCCTAGAAGGTTTCAGTGAATGATTATGTGTTCAATGGGTTATCCTGCTAGAAATTGGCACTGCCACTAGTGGATTTAACTATGCTGGAGAGGGGGCAAGTGGTGGTTTTCAGTTTTCCTTGATTTTAGATTTCCAGAGATAATCAAAGCTATTTTAATAATTACTGGCAACTGTAATGCTGGTCAATGGCTGTAAATACTGGGTTTTTATTTTATTGGGAGGCTTTTTGGTATCAGAAATGTTAGGTGGTAAATCATATTTTGGAGAAATGGAGTGCTTCTTCTGTCAGATATTGATCTGCCTACAACATACTGAAAAACGTTTGTAAAGGAAGGTGGCGGTTATTTTAATTCCATCGCAAATCCTAGTTTCACATGACTTTTCATGAAGATATTGTTTAAAATTGAGCTTCTCTTTTTCTGAGAGCTTAGATGGAGCTAGATTTGGTAGGGCGATATCCGTCTTGCTTTATAGCTGAGTGTATCTCAGTTTTTTGTACTCGGTTAGAAAAGAAGGATGTCTGTACCCAGACAGAGGGAGGACTTTGCAGATTCATTGAATTTTCTGTCAGTGGCCCTTACAAATGCTGAGGTGTAAGCACGGGGAAGCACGCACCATGTTCACGCAGCCAAGCTCCTTCCGCTTGTAGCTATAAAATGTGGTAGAATGAAAGCAGTGTATGTAATGGCCCTTAACCAGTTTTCCTTTCCCATTTTCTTTTGAATTCATGCATTTTAAAATTAATGCTACAAGAAGCATCATTGGATGTTTTGGACTTTTCCATATTGTTGTAAACATCTTTCACAGTATCAGGAATAGCATGGATGTAATTTCAGAAATACTGTCATTGCATTTACTTGATTTTTGAAGTCATCTTTCAGTTCAGGAATAGAAAATTTCATGATTATTACCTATTTTCTGGCATCTTAAAGTCAAGCAAAGGAAGCAGTTTACTTGTGTGTATGTAGACAAGTAGATGCAGCTGTTGAGATTTGTGCATATACATATGTGCATATATCCATGTGCGTTTGTATTTTTTTATTTATATATATATATATTTATATTTATATACACAAATTTAAAATCTCCATTGTCTCTGGTCCTAATAGTCATATTAGGAGGGATCTAATGCAGACACACAAGATCAATCTGCTTGAAATTATTTGATATTTTGCTAACAAGAAAATTAAGTTGTACTTACACTATTGAATTAATATTGTAATTAAACTCTTTGTAATCTTCTGGGTTACAAAACTGAATAGGAAATAATTCAGATAGCTTAGCAAAGCACAAACAGAGCTGTTATCATCTGGGAGCTAAGCTTAGCCCTTTCATCAACATTATCAAGACAGAAAAAATGTGAGCATCTCAGCCAATACCAAATCCAACCGCTATCCACAGCCTTATGATTCCCCTTGTAAAAGCAGAAACTAGTTATTTAAGATTCATGCTAAATATTTTCCGACCACTATAAATACTCTAAAAGGCTATTTCCTTTGTATTTTCTTATATGAATTTATTCATACGAAAATGTCACATCATTATTTAGAAAAAATTCCTGACAAGATGACATTAGCCCAGGGCTACTTTCGACCATGTGTATTCGTGACCTAAAGATATCAGTTATTGCAGTATACCCAAATAACATTCTGACAGGCTGAAAAGCATGCAGTTTTTTTTGAAATGGGGAAGAATTGTGCAACTCAACTAACACTGTATAGGCAAAGGCCCCAAGGGTTTTAAAAACGTGTAGCCTGATACGGGGACTAGAAACTAAAATCTTGTAATGCTGAGACAGAGTTGATGTGGTATGAGGTTTTATTTGGAAAAGTTAGCGAAGTTACCAGAGTGTTCTTTGAAGTCAGTGTTGCTTTAATACACGTATGTACACATTACACACTTATGATAATTTTTCACTTATAAACCATTATTTTAGGCTTAATTCTTTTCCTGTAAGTTGGCAGAGATAGTAAGTCCATGCAAAATAAGTGTAACTTCAGCTGTCTTAAAAGTCTGGCTTTGTGCTGTTGAGAATTTGAACTTGTCCTGAATTTTCTTTGCTTCTGGTGTGATTATTCACACCTTTTTCCATGTGGTGTTGAAATAATTAATCTCAGCAGGTAGACATCATCAAAAGAATATTAGCTCAGAATGATCAACTGTAATTCTGTGCTCTGCTCTTTAGGGATATGGTGAAAAATTACTCATTTTCAGCTTTGTAAAAAGGCAATAATAAGAAAACTTATTTTCAGGATGTTTTGTGGAAATGTTCAGTGTTCTTGTCCAAATCTAGATTCCTAAGAGATATAAATCACATGGAATTAAATTTATAAGCATTACTGTTGCTGGCTGTGGAAGAGTAAGATTTATCGTATACTTTTCCTCTTTGTGTTTTAATTACATTCTTTTGAAATCTTACTTGTTTCTTGTCATCACAGTTCCTTTTCAACACACTGAATTCTGACTGAGATGATCCTTACATTGATGCTAATGCTAATGCCTGTTTTTCTTTATGATTCCATCTTGAATAAGCTCAGAAACTCGCAGTGCTCAAACATTAGCTTACTGTGTTTCTTCCTGTAGGAGATACTTACATTTAATACAGAGAAAAAAAGCATGACCAAAGTGTTTCTCAAGGTAGTTACATCTAATAGGAAGTGGGATAAGTGCGGCTCTGTAGGTTCAAGTGGCACTTTTTGGAGCTATTTTTGGAACCTGCTGGAAAGGAGAAGCAAACCAAAGGAGCCAAAGATCCTCCTCCCCAGTGTCCCAGAATACTTGATGTCAGAAGATTTTTCCACCCAATCTGTCATTTTCAACCTGTGAAGAAATTCTGTTGCCAAAGGAAGCATGGTGTTCAAGCGCAAGCCTTGACTGGTGACTGAAACTTCCTTCTGTCTGTTTTTTTGTATAAATATAATCTCAAATTAGCAACTTAAGAATAGGAACAAACTTCTTTTCATGCTGAAGATGTAGGCTTGGTTGCTTCTTCTTGCATGCCTGCTGTGGCAGGGTCAGGGGTGTAGGATTTACTGCTTGATTAGATTATCAATTGATTAATTCAGTTTTTTTTTATGTGGATCTGATTGTGATGCGCAGAATTATAGATGTGGTTCTGTAGAACATGAGAAATTTGCAGTCTGACACTTAATTTCTTGTGATTTAATTGTTGTAATTCAGGATAGTTGTTTTTTGGCAGATGCAGGCTTTACTGAAGATTGGACCATTGAATGTTGGATCGATCGTTGGAGTTTGTGCAGGTTTTGTTCACGCTGGTGGAGGTGTAAGTGGGAAGGTCTCTAGGAGGGAACTTCTCAATTACTTAAAGGAGAGACACTGGGATTAAAATCCCTATGCTTGTTCCAGCTTTTTTGTGTGTCTTATAGAGACCTCTTTAATATTCAGAAGAAAAATATGCCTTTTATTGCCACTGTATGTCTTTATTCTTAAGGCTGCAGCTTGTAAAGGGCTGTAAATGCAAATAATCAATTTTAAAACAAGAATAGTGGGACTCTTATTTATGTTGATAAAGAATAGCCATATATATGGTCACGGTGTATACAGTTAACTGAGTTCTCAACTGTGCTCTCCACAGATTTCTCCCTAGCTTTCCTGGCAAGGTTTATATTTATTACTGAGTGTGCTTTCCTAATGCTGTTTGTAACCTCATCACATTTATTTTATTTTGCTCTGCTCTGGGAGGACCCCAGGTGGCTCACTACTTTTGGGGTGGCTGAGGTGTGTTGTGATGCTGTTAGAGTAAATTGTCACAGTATGAGAGACCTTGGGGTATAGACATAGTGTAGCTTTACGCACAGAGTGCTTCTGAAATGATTACATATGGAATTTGGGGCAAGTAGTCAGATCTTTAAATTTTTCCAGAGGTTGAGCTGCTCTTTGCCATGAAATCTCAGACAGCCTGGAAAACTGAGTAGATGTGTTAGTTTTTTTCCTGTTTTCAGGAATAGTGAGTGATATGTGATTTTCTTCAGTCTCGATTCTAATATTTGTAGTGCACAAAAGAAAACGTAGGGAAACTGGACCTCTGCTTGTGAGTTTTGTGAAGGCCTGTGTGTCTGTATCCAACTACTTTGGATGCAGCATCTTTTGACGTGCTGTAAGAGCATGCAATTGTAATTCTGATGTATACCTCTCTTTCATTTTTGCAGCTGTCTCCTTCGCTATCATTTAATCATAGAATCATACAATCGCAGAATGGCCGGGGTTGAAAAGGACCATGGTGATCATGTGGTTTCAACCCCCTAGCTATGTGCAGAGTCGCCAACCACCAGACCAGGCTGCCCAGAGCCGCATCCAGCCTGGCCTTGAATGCCCCCAGGGATGGGGTGTCCATAATCAGTTATCTGCACCCTGTCAGTATCCCATAAGCACAGCAGAGGGGTCTGGTTTCCCACCATCAGTCAGTGCGTAATGCCTTCCCTGCAGGCTGCTGCACCCAGGCAAAGTGCAAAGCAAAGAGTTGCACAGCACTGAGGGTCAGCTTGCTGCCTTAGGAACAGTTAATAGCCCCGTGGAGCCAGCTTACAGCCTGTGTGTGGGATGATTCCATTGCCTGTGCCATCAGTAGGCCAGTTTGTAGCCAGAGAGCTACAGATGGTTACCGTGCCCGAAGTGTGGATGGTGCAGAAGTTAAGCCCCGTGCCAGTTTTAACTTAAAGCTTTGGAATTGTTGTTTTTTACTTCAGAGCTTCAGTATTCGGAGCTGTGAAAATATTTCTCAGAGGACACTGTCAGCTATTAAACGGCTTTAAGTAATTAGCAGGTTTATAAATTGACAACAGACTGGGAGCTATGAATGTCTGACAGCTACCTATTTCCTCCTATACTTGCTTCATGTTATGAACCATTAAGTGTGAAAATAAAATAGCAGTCCACGTTTGCAACAAATGTCCGAATGAGCCATTATCCTTTGCCACTTTCTCTTCATACAGCACTCGAAATTTTTCACACCCTGTAGTTTTTAAGATGTGCAGCAACTCGTGGCAAGGATGTAAACTGGACTGGACCTGTGTATGCATGTAGGGGTCAGGCATTCTGGCATGGTGAGAGGACAGCAGCAAGAGGTACAGCTGTGAATGATGTCTGAGTCAGATCCAGGGCTGTTTGTTCATTTGGTTCTCAGGTGGATTACTCACAAAGCTTTCCGAATATTAAAAGTCAGAAATGTCAGCTTCAGAAAGGGTTGGATTTTTTGTCTTTAGAATACAGAATCATAGAATCACCAAGATTATAAAAGGTGTCCAAGGTCAACCTGTCCAACCATCCACATATCACCAGTATTTCCCACTAACCCATGTCCTGTAGAACGACATCTACACATTTCTTGAACACCTCCAAGGACAATGACTTCACCACCTCCTTGAAGAAAAAAAAAAAAATTCTCACATCTTTGATGTCAGTAGGTCTCAATTTCTTGCAGCTTGCCTACCCTAGGATAGTTAGAAATTGATGAAGTTTCAAAATGTAATTTTGTGAATATTTGGTTTCTGCCAACAAAGTATTGGAGAAATATCATTCTTGCCTATGTTTAAAGCCATAAAGCTGTGTGCTTTTGTGTGTACAGGTGTTATTTGGTGTTGTCAGTGCTCTCATGAGTGTTGAGTAAGTTCTGTTTGTCTTACAGGTCATTTTAATTTTCCTTCCCAGGTCTGGAAAGGTAGCTTTTTAGTTACTTTTATCTATTTATGTTTATTTAATCAATACTTTTTTTTTTAATTTTAATTTTCATCTTCACCTTTTCTAAAGCACACAGATGCATAGAATGTGTGTAATAAGGATGGAAATTTCTTTCACTCCGTATGACCCTTGGCATCAGTTAAAGCAGGGTCTGAGTATATTGTGTCTAAATGCTTTCTCATTCTTGATTTTCCAGTCTGAATAAAGGGGAAAAGAGAACAGTGGCTGTGACATACATATTAGAACAGTGGGAAAAAAATGAGTGCCTTTCATACGTGAATCCTTAATCGTTTCTTCTATGCCGCAGTTTTAACGTGCATTTTTCTTCCCCTGCTCTTGCAGTTGACTCCAGTTGGAACCACCATCTTTACAGGATTTTCTGGAAACAATGGTGCTACTGACATCGATGATGGTCCAAATGGCCAGATAGAGTATGTCATCCAGTACAATCCTAATGACAAAGTATGTGCCTTTACTTTTTTTCCTATCTGCATATATATTTTAATATGAAAAACATATGTATCTGTGTGTATATAAATAAATATATATGTATTTGCTTATTTTATATATATATATATATATATATATATATATGATTTTGAAATAAGGAATGAGTAAGTGGCTGCTGTTGGACATCATAAATTCTAAACTTGAAAACTTACTACCAGTGTAGATTATTCTATCCACCTTGCTTGTCCCATAAGCTCACCCAAATTTATCTTTCTTTTCAATGCCATGCTCTACTATCAGCTATAACACTGAAGCATCAATCATCCCATCTTTTCTAGTGTTGTTCACACACCTTCTCTTTTTTGGCATGTGTTTTCTGTCTGTGACAGATTGTTGTGTTCATTCCTCCACACTTGCAGTAATGGATTCATAGCTAAGATATATTCATAGCCACTGCTAAGTTTCTCATGAGAGACGTTCTGTCTTCCTATATGGAGCTGCTTATATACAGAGAGAGAGAGAAAGAGAGTTTTGTGTTCTGTTTTTTTTTTTGTAAAGCCACTTAGAAAAAGAAATATATATTACTAAAATGAAACAGTAACGTTCTATGTCTGGGGTCTGTACAAGCTTGTCATTTTAGAGACAAAAGTTTTGAAAGGTACTGAAATACATGTTCTTTAGGCTCAGATTTGTGAATTTCTCTATTGCAATGCATTTTTTGCATGAGTGATCTATTTGAAGCATCCATCTGCATTTTCTTGAAAAATTAAAATTATTTTGGCAGTGCTGTTTTGAAAACCAAGGTATGTTTTGCCATTGGCTAAGAACATTGTTACTGGGGATCAGGTGGTGTGATAATTTAAGTATGCTAACCTGATAATCTATTCATCTCATGCATAATGTTGATGAGAAAGTACTCTAGTGAGGAAGTACTTAGGAAATAGATTTAGCAATCTCTCGTTCAAAATCTCTGCTGTTACTTAAGGCTAACTTGAGTAGAAACGTTTTTTGTGGGAAAACAGCACTCTGATTCTAAGTTTCAGTATAGACATAAGTTTAAGTTATGTAGAATAGTGAAGGACTCCCGTTTGGGGCAACTTTGGTACAGTCAGTCATCTCAATAAATGTTTGCTTAATTTCTGTTGCATGCCTGGTTAATGAAACCTACTTCGTTCATCAGTAGAGAGCCTTTATGCATGTGATAGTGTATGCTTGACAGAAATCACTTGTAAAGCTGCTTTACTGCCTCTCTCTTCTTGCTAGGAAGATACCCTAAAACATCTGCTACAAGTGAATTGTCTTCCTTAACCTGGGAAAGTTTTGCCACGCTCAAAAATGAGGTGTACAGCGTAGTGAGAAATATTTTTGCTTCTCTACTTCTAGGATCCTCCCATGTTGTGTGTTGAAGATGCCCAGTGTAGTTCGGCACCAGTGACAGGCTGCTGCTTTTGAAAAAGCTTAATGCTGATAATTTTCATTAGAGACCAATTGAGAATTAAAAAAGAAAAAAAAAAAAAAGTAAAAAAATAGAAGTGTTATCTAGAATTCAATTTAGCTTAAATACTTTGTTGTTTAATGGGGACGTATATAAAAGTCAAGAAGAAGAAAATGAATGCAAAACATATTGGATGTTTTTCTGGTTCCTTTAGCTGTTGTACAGATTGATGCCATAACTCTTGGCTCTCAGAATCAAAAGATGAAGTTGATTAGCTTGCCAAAAGAATCTTCAAATGCAGAGTCAATTTTAGATCTCTGAGGACTCTGGTTCACCCTGAAGGTTGAGACAGATGCATCCACCAAAAAGTTCTGGACTCGATCCTTGTGAGCTAATTTTGCTGTGATTGTATTGTTTGGTGAGGATAACAGTTACTCTTCTTGAGTTGCTATGAAATTAGAGGTCTGCATAATGCTTTTGCTGTGGTGAGTTGTAGCATACCGTGCCCACATCTGCAGAGTAAGTTGTCTCCTGATGACTTTCCCCTTCTGATATAATTTGCCTCATGTATTTTGCCACACCTACACTGCAACTTACGGCGAGTTGTCTGCGCGATGTTTCAGACTCATGGTTTTTGTCACAAAGCTTCCATGGGAGCCCAGATGACATACCAAAACTGCAGGTGACTGACGTGGCAGAGTTACTGTATAGTCCTCACAGCTCTGTTTGGATCTCTCTGATGAGCATAAAGGAAATATGACTGGACTTAATGCTCCCAGTGACGTTTTCTTTCATTGTGAAGTTGCAAGTTAAAACTAATTCCTGTGCCAGTAGGAATCTGTTGGAATTTCAGACACTACAGTAATAAAGAGATGAGCAATACTCCTGTTTTGTTATGCTTCACTGGTGTTGTTTGCAAGTATGTGCATTAAATGTGTGTCTGGGTACCTGAGAGCATGGCCGTACCAGGTTCGTGGAAGCTGAAACTCCAGAGGGGAAAGAATACAAAGCTTTGCTCCTTCAGTGTGTACATCATTAGTGCAGATGAATCAGTGTTCCTATTTTTTTCAGTAGATCGTATCTGTGGGAGGAGATAAAACATTTCTCCTCTGTGTAGTAATTATATAGTGCTTTCTATTTGATTGGTTTTAGTTCAGTGATGTGTAGTCTACCAGGCTCTCCAGAGTATGCCGCCTTGCTACAAAAGGTAGATTGCCACCTCTCTTGTGCACCTGCACGAACGAATAGCAAAATTGCAGGAATTATTTTTGCTCTCTTGTCTGAGCTACTGCCTCCCAGGCTAGAACCTGGGGCACAGCCCAGAGCACCACCAGCACTTCTTTTTAAGCCAGTTTATTATAGGTGGGAAAGACTGTGGCTCAGGGTGGGTGTGGGGATTATGTTGCTGCATTGTAGAGCACTGTGCTGGCCTGAGACTTAGGGCTGCTTATATTACAAGAAGCTAGCAGGAACAAAGGAGTGGTTGTAAAACTTGCACATGTAACATCAAAGCTAATTGGAAACACGTGTCAATAAAAACATAACGTGTAATTATGATTTGGGTAAATTCTCCAAATCTGAAGGAGCAGTGTGTGAGCATCAGAGGTTGTTACATCAACTGTCTCTTCAACAGACATCCAAGTTGTATGTGTCTCTGAGAATTGGGCCGAAGCAGCAATGTGTGGGAAATTAAGTTATTTAAGAGAGAGTGGTGAGGTGCTGGAACAGGCTTCCCAGAGAGGTTGTGGATACCCCATCCCTGGAGGTGTTCAAGGCCAGGTTGGATGGGGCCTGGGCAGCCTGGTCTGGTATTAAATAGGAAGTTTGATCGCCCTGCACGTGGCAGTTGGAGATTCATGATCCTTGAGATCCCTTCCAACCCGGGCCATTCTGTGAAATCTTATCTCTGTCTCTTGTCTACTGCATGTTGTGGAGATGATGAAAGCAGACTTCTTTCAGAGATGTGCTGTGAAAGAGCAAATGGTGCAAGATGCCACATGGCAAATACCAATGAAAAGCTCTTTTCCCCAGTGACAGTGATCAAAGAGTGGAGCAGGAGCCCAGAGGAGTTGTACGGTCTCTGTCCTTGAAAATATTTGGCCTCCAACTGGCTGAGGCACAGAGCAGCCCTTGTGAGCTCCCATGTTCTCTGACAGCCTCCCTTATTCTCTGATTCAATTGAACTCTAAAACCTGCCCTTGATATAGAAGGGATTTCTCTATTTTTGTCAGATGTGTTATCATCTCTGTTTAGATCATCTTTTAGAAAGCCCTGTAAAATCACTTCAGATTCTCTGAATTTCAAAAGCGTCGTTCTTCAAATGGCTTTGTGCTGCTTACAGTCCAGCAGGTAGTGACAGTAATGTGAAACACCATCTTTCTACTACTGAGGGAATGGAAATGAACAACCTGGTAGTGACTTTCTAATTTTCCCAAAATGGCCAATTTTAGGTCTGGCATCAGGAAGCGATCCTTGCCATCCTGCGGCCTCCAGCCTGCTTCACTGATTTAAATTTGGTGAGCATGCTGTGTTGTAAGAGCTGCTGTATGAAAGCATTTTAGTATTTCTTCTCTGAAGCTTTTCAAGGGAGAATCAGTTCTGTTCTCTTGGAGTGTGCAGGCAACAAAGCAGTGTCACTTTGCCAGGAAGCATAAAAGAGCTTTCGATGTCCCTGACTTCCTGCATATGCTGGCTCATTTCAGCATTGGATGGAGGTGCAGCTGAGCTGTGCCCTTGCTTTGCGTATCTCTTAGTTGCCTTGGAACTTGGATCGTGGTTTGTATTGCAGCAAGAAGTAGATTTTGCAGAGCAGTCAAGGGATATGTGTGGGGTGAATCTGGTGTGATAACTTTCAGAGTTCTGATACACACCTGAAGTTAAACTTCACGTCACCAAGGAACCGTTACTGCAATTCGCTACTCTACTGGAGCGAGAGGGGGGACTCCAGATACAGGCACTTTGGGAAGAAGTTACAGGGTTTTTTGCTGAAATTCCTCTGATGCTTCCCAACAGTTTAGATTGTAGTGTTCTACTTCAATGCATTTTTCTTTTTGCCAAGGAATGCCAGAAAGAGGGCACTGTTTTGGGAACACGTTGGCTGATCCTTTGCCACAGAGACTTTTCCAGTTGGTTCTTCCCTTTTTAACCAGAGATAAATGGGCTAAAGCAGCCAGAAGGATCTTACTTGTGAGCTGGAGTTCCCATGCAAGTGCATGAGTGTGCATACACACACAAACAGCATCACTTCATTACAATAGTGAAAAACATTGCCTGCTACTTGCATGGTTCACATCCCAAGAGGGAGACAAAAGCAGTGAACTCTACATGGTTCTTCCTTCTGTTTTTAGCTTCCTTTTTTGCCTCGGTATAAATATTTTGTGTTGGTCTTCCTTCTCCCCTGTATGTGTATGTATGCATATATACATATCTGTACACAGTACCACTGGGTACTTTTTATATATCCAGAGTTGTTTATGCAAAAAAAAAAAAAAAAAAAAAAAAATTTAGTCATGAGCAAATTGTATTGCTCATTGTAATATTGTATATTACTGGCAGAGTTTGTGGTGGACCTTCCAGTAATATTTTTATGCATCAAAACATGGCAAATTTAACAGTTGTTATCATGTAATTGCTGAAAATAGTACTTTTTATGCAAATGTTTGAAATTTTATGGGGATGGGGAATGGCCTTTTTGTGTTATCTAAGGTGAGAATAGTACTTTGTACCTCTGTAGTGTTTCCTTTCAAGAGGTTTTTGTACTGCTCCACAGCCATTGTCCATGCACTATATTTCAGCATGAAGTGTATTCTACACTGGTAGTCTTAAGCGTGGAAAGATTTTGGTGTGACCAAAGGTGTGAAAGGCTTTTTTAACATCAGCGTACTTTCAGCACGGCGAATCAATAAGAAACAGGAGAGTTAGGCTTCAGTTTGTGATTAGAAGTGACAAGTTACTTGCAAACAGCCAGAGAGAATTCTGTTACGTACAGAATACTTACTGTGAAATTCTCATCAAGTATGTTGGGCAGGGAGGGAACAGGAAACTGTTCAAAAGCTCTATCTAAAAGACATGCAATTTTGATATTCAATAGGCCATCTCATTCTGGCCAGTCTTTAATATCCTTTAACTTTGAAGCATGTTCAATTTCATGTTACTGTTTTAATTTTTGCAGACTTCCAACAGGACCTTTGATATTCCTCTTACTTTATCTGGAGCAGTAGTTCTACGGGAGAGACTAAATTATGAGGAAAAGACTCGTTACTTTGTGATTGTTCAAGCAAATGTAAGTATACATCTCATAATAGCCATTTATAGTTCTAATTCAGGTGGCCCTTAAGTTCCTGGGTATGGATTTTTTCCTAGGAGAGGAAAAGCATCTCTAAAATACCAGGTCTGATGCACTCTTATTCTGTAGACCCTATTTAAGATGTATCTAGGTGCTTTCTGTCATTAAAAGATTAGACATACTACTGCTGGTTAAAAAAGCTTGCTCAAGATGCATAGAAAAAAGCAACATTCTGGCGCAGGGAACAAGTTGCGTATTTGAAGTACAGCCCATGCAGAAAAGTGCATTCTAGTGTCACTAAGTGTTCATCTTCTAACACATCTAGCAATGCTAATTTGATGTCAAATGAGTTTAATGGATACAATTTAGTTGTATCTTTCATGTTTGAAAAGCAGTTTTCTTTGAAGAGGTGATTTTTCTTTGAAGTCATATTACATGGTTATACGGAGGTTTTTACACAGCGGCTAGCAGTATATAATGCATTCCCGGGAGAAGAGTGACGTGTAAACTGTATCTAATACATCTGTCATCGCAGAATTTTTTTGTGCCTTTGAGGGCTGTGAAAGCCTTTTTGTTTTGTTTTTTGTTCAGATAATGGCTGAAATGAAAACTTTGGTTCTGTAGTTTACCACTGTTGTGGTACTGTTTCATTTATGGGGAAAAGGAGGATCCCCTGAAGCAATTTTAAGATAGTTTTAAAGTAATGTAAACTTGCTTTCTTATATATTTTGTGGTATGTTCAGCGTTTCCCTAGTAGAAGATGGGCTTAAAGGGTGTGCCTTTGTGCTCTTCGCCATGCTCTTGAATGTTCAGAAAATTGAAGGCTGTAGCTCTGAGGTTGAAGTTTTCATAATTATGTATTGTGTAGAATCTGCACATTTGGGAAGGTTATACACCTTGCCCTTACCTTTAACTTTAAATCTTTCTGTAGATTCTGACTTCTGAACATCTCACAAAATGTTTCCCATTTGCTCCCCAGGACCGAGCCCAGAATCTTCATGAGCGAAGGACAAGTACAACCACCCTCACAGTGGATGTGCTGGACGGGGATGACCTGGGACCAATGTTTCTTCCTTGTGTCTTGGTGAATAATACTCGTGACTGTAGACCTCTCACCTACCAAGCAAGCTTGCCAGAACTGACTGATCCTGTAAGTCCTCTTGATTTTTGTAAGTTTTCTGTGTTTGTTTTGTAACTGGTTGTCGTCTTTCTCTGTGAACACAATGGAGAACTGTAACTAGAAGGACTGTGCATGCTTTGTGTCAGGTTCTATGTGCTAAACAGATTAAAATTGAAGTAAAATACTTGTATGAATAGATGAAATTCCAACTTTGATACAGTGGTATATTGCTTGCTACAGGCTCTGAGTCTTGCTGAAGTTTGGTGAAATTGTGTAATTGCATTCTTAGCTCTGTCTTCATCGTAATCTTGAAATATTCTGAAAAACCACTTGGAGTAGGGTACTTGACTTGTCCCTCTTTTCCGGATTATTAGAGACTTCACGGGGAAGATTTTTAGGGAAGGAAGCCTTAGTTGTTTGTCCCTGGAAAGTTTCTTTGCCGTTGTATCTATTTTCAGTCAAGAGGCACTAAAGAGCAACTAGTGCTTATCCCACGTAGCTGCTTATACTGAGTACACTGGTTAATACATCAGTTAGGATTAGTATAAAATTCAGTCATTTCACCCTTGGATATGCACAGTGGATCACAAAAAGAAGAGATGAGAGCTCTACAAAATCCTGATGCAAGATGATGCTAATTCTTCTTCCCTACAGGGGAAGAAGGCTGCTTGGTAGGCTGGAAGTGTGCATCTTTGGAGTAGGAGAAATGCTCTGCATTTGGCTAATATGATTTATGTAAGTTTCTTAAGCAATGCTGGTAAATGTCCTTTGGTTCATACATTTACAAAAAAAGAAAAAAAAAGCAGAGCCAGTTAAATCATTGGGCTTATCCCCCACCCAATCAACCTCTGACATTAGGTTAACTTTGACTATTGACAACGAGATCATGATTTCCCTTTTTCATCTCAGGACACTATCTCTGGCCTGCATTCTCTGACCAAGAGATGGGGAGGATGAGGCTGAAAGTGTGGAGGTTCTTGCTATTTTCTGCCTTATTTGCTTTGCTGTCTCGTTCCATGTAGACTTTTGCCATCCCACAGGTTAGGCTTCCAGCTCTGTCTGGGCTTGGGCCCTGGAGCAGGGCAGCTGCCCTGCTTCTTTGACACAGGATGACATCCTCAGCAAGTTTCAAAATCTCTCACATCCAATCTAGATCCAGCTGAAAATGTCACTAACATATGCGGGAGTTCATCAGTTCCTTCTATAGAGACCAACAGTACAGGCTCTGGTTAAATAGCCAGTACAATCTCTGGGAGACGAGAGGAAGCTTTATAGCAGTCATGATGTTCAGTTATTGTGCTTTTTGTATAAGAAGGGTCTGGGACAAGTTTCAGGGAATTTATGTAAGTCAGACTGGACCTGATGTCAAACTGGAGGGAGATTGGATCTTACAAGCCTTATGCACCTCAAAAAGAGATCATTTCTCTGAGCTGAGAAACTCTTCCTCACAACTGCATCCTTATTTTTAAGTTATAGCAAGAACGGAGCCTTGACACTCAGCTTGTAATAGCAGAAAATCAGGAGGGAAGGGAAGGGATATTCCATATTTAATCTTACTAGTCTGATTTATACTACTCTTTTTTCACTTCTACACCTTGGTATTTCTAATTGCAGTGGCTGAATTTGACTTTGTGAATACATGCATTAGATGAATGTGGCTTGCATGTAACATCATTTGAAGGAAACTGCGTGTTATTCCTCAGCTCAGTACATGGTCTCGTCAGGGTTAGTGGGATACCCAAGCTAAGCAGAGAATGAGAGATTGTGACCCCATTTTATCCACACAGATCAAGTGGCATTCACAGTACAGGGGCAGGTAAGGCAGTAATTAAGAAAGATCAGTGCTTGGTTGTTACATTAATTTATTTGTTTTTAATCTAGCTACCAAAAGGCAGGACAGAGGTCATCTACTTGTCCTGAGGCAGCTCTCACAGATGAAAGGAACTCAGCTCTGTCTTCATTCTTGCCCTTGCTGTGGACAGGCATGTGCTGGGCGCTACAAGGCAAAGTGATGTCTGCCAGGAAGGCCTGCAGAAATCTGGCTAGTGATTACTTCTGAGTTGCAAAATACATTCGTTTGACTGCCAAAGCTGTTCAGGTGCCAGCTTTTTTTGTTTTCTTTTTGGCTGTTTTGTGTCAAATTGCACCTTGAGAGGTCTGATCTGTGACACGAGAAACTGGTTCTCTTGATAAAAATAGCTGCTATTTGCTGTTTATCTTTTTGCAGTGACGCAGCTGTTTTGATAAACATAAGTGGAAGAAGGATGTGTCTACCACAGCTTTTACCTTGGTACTTGAAATATTTACCTGGCTTGTAAATTATAATGCAATTAGGCAATAGAACAATTTTATATTTATAAAATAATAATTAAGAAAAATCCCTCAATTAATAAAACATACATTTGTCCTGCAAACAGCAGTATGATAGAGGTGCAGAGAGTCCTCTGGCAGTGAAGTAATGGGATCCTCCGATCTGATGAAGCAGCCTGGGCAGAGAAACTCAGTCAGAAGTATTTTGGAGATGGCTGCATGATATAAAGAAGTTTGCATTACACCACATAGGCAAGAATCCATAATGATGCAGGACCCTATCCCCAGTGTCAGGTTGTGTAGAAGCTGATGGTGGCCACTATACTCCCCAGAATGCTTGATGTCAATTTACTTGCACTAATTAGTTTTTGTTTCCTTTTTGAAAATCAGAATTTACTACTCTGTAAGATTTGAGCCTTTCAGCAAGAGTAGCAAATAGAACAGAATATACTGTCCCTAATGGTATTTCCCTAATGTCTTTCCCTAATGGTAACTACTACATAGGCTAAAGGAGAATTATTAGACCAGCATCATCATTTACTTTTTAAGTACTTTTTGTATTTTTTACAGCAAACATGAAGAGGAATATTAATGAATCTTTAATAAGGAATGTCAAGGAGTATTCAAAGTAGTAGCTTAAAAAGTCCTGCTTTACATTGTGTCTACTCGACTGACCTCTAAAAGGGAGCATTTATAAGTAAAACATTAAATGTAACTGGAAATAAAAGGTTCTGGGTTTTTTTGGTCTTACATGATTAGTTGTCTTTAATTGGCCTTTACCAATTTGCTCAGTTTGCTGAGGTAAATAGTGTTTTCTTTCCAAGCTTGTTTCCTTTAGAAATTCCAAAGCAGTTTGATGCATTAGCAATGAAGCATCCATACAGCTTGGGCTTTGTTTATGGTCTTTGCAGGTGCAATGAAAGAGACCAGCAAAGTTAATGGATCTCTTCATTACCAGAGAAACAATTTTTCCTCAAAAACAGTACCAGCACTTACATTGTGCCTTCTGAGAGTTGATCTGATGTCTGCCTTGTGGCAGTATTAATAATTCTATTAAATCTGTTCCAGGCTGTGTGGAGTGCTGTATGATTAGTGTTTATACACTTGTAATTAAAAACAAAAAAAAAAAAGTGTTTTGCATTTCTGCTATTTGCACAGATGGTGCAAATTGTCCCAAAGCTGCACATCTTCCAGGCAGAGCCAGAGGTTATCTGATGGTCCCATCTGGTGGGCATATAGAATAACATGTGATAATAGTATTTGTAAGTCAGCACGTTAACTGAGCATGGCCAGAAGGTAGGACTTCATCAATGGCTGCCTCACTTTGTGACTCTCCCTTCTGCAGCTCATCACCAGTGATCCACTGTAATTAAGTGCCATCACAGTCTCATTAGGGCTATTACAGAATTGTAGCAATTGGAAGGGACCTCTGGAGATCACCTAGTCCAGCCCCTGCTGAAGCAGGTTCCCTACAGCAGGCTGTACAGGAGAGCATCCAGGTGAGTCTTCTGTATCTCCAGAGGAGTAAACTTCATGACCTCTCTGGGCAGCTGTTCCTGTCTGTTGTCACCTTCACAGTAAAGACGATTCTCCTCATGTTCAGATGGAAGTTCCAGTGCTTGTTCCTTCTTATCCTGTTGCTGGACACCAGAAAAGATCCTGGCCTTATCTGCTTTACTCTCACTCATTAGATATTTATAAGCATTTATAAAATTCCCTCTATCTACTCCTCTCCAGTCTGAACAGCCTCGGTTCTCTCAGCCTTTTCTCATATGGGAGATACTCCAGGCCTTGGCTGTTTTTGTGGCCCTCTGCTGGACTGTCTCTTGAACTGAGCAGCCCAGGTCTGGACACAGTGCTCCAGATGTGGCCTCACCAGGGCAGAGCAGAGGGGAGGATCACCTCCCTTGACCTGTCGGCCATGTTCTTAATGCACCCCAGCATACCACTGGCCTTCTTGGCCATGAAGGCATGCTGCTGGTTCATGGCCTACCTGTTGTCCCCCGTGACACCCAGGTCCTTCTGTGCAGAGCGCTTCTTCAACAGTTTATCCTCTAATCTGTACAGATGGACGTGGTTGTTCCTCCCTAGATGCAAGAGTTGCCCTTCTTAAATCTTCTAAGGTTCCTCTCTGTTCAGTTCTCTCTATGATTACGGCTAAGATAACATAAGCACCAGTTACTGTTGTGAAATGGTTGTATTGTTAAAACTTCTTAGAGTAGGCAGAATCTCTTCCTCCGGAGTAAACAAACTTTTCACCTATGGAGAGCACATTAGCTATTCTGAATGCTTTATCCTGTGTAAGGTGAGCACTGGGAGCTCAACTGCTTTATTGCTGCTGAAGCTCAAACACAGCTAAATTAACAGCCTGTAATTCACACCTACATTATTTATGGCTTCCCTGGGCTTTAATTTGCTTGTGAAATCCCACCTGTTGTGTCTGATTCAGAAGTTCTCAGGGAGGAGAAAATGAAGTTTAAACTCTTCTGAAATTCATTGCAAAAATTATCTTGCAGAAAAGACACCAAAGCCCATGACAAAACAACATTCAAGTCATTATTTAAAGTTCTGTCTCATAATACAGATGCAAATCTTAATTTCCTTTAGGAGAGTGTAAGCTACAGCTTCAGTGATGTTTTAAAATGAGTTAGCATAAACTTTTCAAAGAATTCAAGTTCCAAAAGCTGAGTATATTGCTTTATAACAAAAAGAAAAGCAGT